GAGCGCAGTGCCAGCCGGGGGAAGCAGCTCTTCCCGGGCGGCGGCAGCGGGGGAACAATGCCGGTCTGTTCCCTCCGCACACTGGGGCCGCCGGAGAGGGGAGTCCCTGCGCGCCGGGGGGGCCCATCACGCTCGGCTCACAACATCTGCTTCTCGGCGCAGTTGGCTCCGTGGCGAGGCTGTCCTGGGACAGCTGGGAGCAATTACGGTCCCTCTGTAGGAAAGGGGAAAGGTGACCTCAAAGGGAGATTTACGTCCTGCCTGTACGGCGGGGGCCGGGGGCTGCGCCAGCTCTGACGTGAACGGGAATGAGGGCTCGTGTGCTCCAGTCCCCCAGCGTTTCGCACGTAACGGGCTCTGTCGTCATCCCCGTGCCCCCAGGTCCGCTACGCGACCTGGAGCATCATCATGGACTCGGTGGTGCCGTCCGATAAGGGCAACTACACCTGCATCGTGGAGAACAAGTACGGGAGCATCAACCACACGTACCAGCTGGATGTCGTGGGTGAGGAGCGCGGGGCTGGGAGGGCTTTCCCGGGGTCCCCGGCCACCCCCCCCTCCCCCAGCAGAAACGGGTGCTGCACCCCGCAGAGATGGGGATGGGCAGCGCTCATGGGGACGACGGGCTTGCCGTCCCTACGGCTGTCCCCCCCGGCCCCGGCGCGCACCTCTGCGGCACAGCAGGTCCGCGAGCAGGCGAGGCGGAAGGTTGACCTCAGCCCGTTCTGGGGATTTTTAATTGTGGTGGAAATCATTTCATAGACCAGACAGAAACTTTTTCTAATCGCCTTATTAGCCATAATTCCCAGCTGGGAAGGCTGGTCTGAGCAGTTCCACATGTGGAGCTGCTCTAAATGCCAGTAAATGAACCATTAAAAATGTGATTTAATTTGATTACACTGAGCAAACTGAAGGGAACAGTCAGCGAGGTGAACAAAGGGGTTTGTTAATGCTGACTCACCACAGTGGCAGCCGCTTTGTTAACGGCCGGGGCCCTCGTTAGGTTTGTTTGCCCTCTGACCCCGCCGAATAGGTACTGATGTCCCCATCCCCGTGACGGGATTTCACCTGTCCCCATCCCCAACCCCTCCTGGCTGCTCTCGCCCCACTGCGGGGGAGTCCCCCAGGGAAGGGGACCCCGCGGTTCTGCCGGGTGCGTCGGTGCCCACCCCAAGCGGGGGGTCCCCATACGTCGGGGGGGGGGGGC